CCACAGAGCGCCTCGCTGCCCTCGCGGAGCCTTTTGTGGAATGGTGCGAGCGGGCCCAGGGGCACACACATGAACACACACCTCCCAATATTCCCCATATGTTCTATAGTTTCTGGATGTTCGCCTTCTTCAACCACTTATCATGGTTTCTTTTATTTCTCGGAGAGGGGTTGGGCGATCCGCACGCGTACCACGATAATGGCATGAACATAAACGTTCGGAGGTCAGCTCGGATTTCTCAGTGCGGCGCGCGACGCGCCGACAGTCTGTCATATGACAGACGGGTCTGTCATATGACAGACGGGTCTGTCATATGACAGACGGGTCTGTCATATGACAGACCCCATTTGTCACGTTGCACGGCTGACTGGGATGCACGGCGAGCGCCGAAACAAGCAATCCGAGCGGACATCCAAGCGTTTATGCTCATGCGTTGTTTCACTCCGTTCGGTTCGTCTGCACAGCTGGGCCCAATCCGATCCGATCTCAACGCGCATTTCGAATCGTCGCCGCGGCTGGGTGCCCTCCGAAGCCTAAACGCGCTCATCGATTCGTCGCCACGGTTGGATCCCACTGGATCAAGTATCCTAGTCTGAACGCGCATCTCAAATCGTCGCCGCGGCTGGATCATTTTCGAATTTTTGGTCGGAGCGCGCGTCTCGAATCGTCGCCACGGCTGGACCCCTTCCGAACACCTGGTCCGAACTATCGTCGCCACGGCTGGATTTGGCCATCTGACGCTGGCCGCGCGCGCCCCCCCATGCGCGCAGCGCGGCACCAGACAGCCAGCGCCGCGACGACGGCGGCCAGCACGGCCGCGGGCATATGGAAGGGCGGCCCCGAGGGCCGCCAGGGGGAGCGGCGCTGAGAGCCAAGCGCCAGGGGGGATCGAGGAGCTGCGAGGAGCGAATGTCATCCGATACATAAACATACGCACGCACACACTCACACACATATGTATATATATACATACATATGTATGTATATACACATATGTATACTTATGTCATATATATATATATGTATACTCACATATTTGTATAGTTGCTGTGTTTATGTGTATGTATGTATGTATGTATGTATGTATGTATGTATGTATGTATGTATGTATGTATGTATGTATGTATGTATTTTTATAACAAAAGAAAGCCGGAAAGCCGGAATCCTACAAATCTCCGCGCTTTTTAGCAGGATCCAGGATTCTATCGCAGATCCCTACAAAATTGCGTTCGATATGACATGTCGCGTTTCTTTTAGCAGGATCCCCAAAAGAAAGCCGGAAAAGAGCCTGAGGGGAACGGTCGGGCAGACGGGGGTGGGGCAGTCCTTTGTCGGCCAGGGGGGGGGCACGGTCGGTCGGCCGGAATGAGCAAGGGGGGGGGGCACGAGGAGAAGGGTGGAACGCACGGGGCGCCACGGTCGGGCAGGGAGGGGGCACGGTCGGTCGGCTGGATTCAGCAGAAGGCGGGGACCACGGGGGGAAAGGCGGGGGCACGGGGGGCCAGGGAAAGGGCGCGGTTGGCCGGTCGGAATAAGCAATGGAAGGGCACACGTGCAGGGGGGAAGAGGGCGGGGCGCGGGGGGCCTCGGTCGGGCAGAGGGGGGTATGGTCGGTTGGTCGGAATAGGCATCCAGGGTGGCACGGGGGGCGGGGGGAACACGGGGGGCCACGGTCGGGCATGGGGGGGGGCACGGTCGGCCGGTCGGATTATGCAGAGGGGGGGCAGGGGGGAAAGGGGGTGGGGGGCACGTAGGGCCGCAGAGGGAGGGGGGGGCACGGACGGTCAGTTGGAATATGCAAAGGGGGGCCATGGGGGGGAAGGGAGGGGGGCCAGGGCGCCACGGACGGGCAGTGGAAGGAAGGCGCGGCCGGTCGGTCCGAAGAAGCAGAGTGGGGCCGCGGGGGGAAGGGAAGAGGCGGCACGGAGGGCCACAGTCGGGCAGGGGGGGGGCGCGGTCGGTCGGTCGGAATACATGCAGAGGGGGGTGGGGCGGGCACGGGGGATAGGCGGGTGCACGGGGGGCCCTTGTCTGACAAAAAACACAAATTTTGGCACACGCCCAAACATCGAAGCACCCCCAGCGCACATCCGAGTACGTCCACACATCTCAGCACACCGATCCCAGCACACCGAGGCAGTACACTGACACATCCCAGCACCGAGAACACCGAGGCAGTATCCCAGCACCGAGCACTCCGAGGCAGTACACTGACGCATCCAAACACGCAGCCTGGCCCAGCACATCGAGGCAGTCACGCATCCCAGCACACGAAGCCCAGCACCTATTCCAGGCACGGTCGGTCGGTCGAAAAAATGCAGTGCGAGATCACACCGGTAGGTATGATAATAATCCTCTCTTCCAAGGTCCCTGTTCGTAGGTCCCTACATGGAAATTGTGAAAGCCTTACGACCGGCGCCGCCGACCCTGAAGGCGGGACCTCTCTCGGGCCCCCGGCCCACCCCCTTGGGACCCAAGGTCCAGGTCAAGAGGGAAACAACACCACACAGACAGTTAATCGGCGGTTCTCGAGGAAATATGGGACAACATGGGAAGTGGGGGGGGAAACGAAAACCCAGGAAATGTGGGAAGATATCGGGAATCCTTGGATTTGTATCTAGTTGTTTGCGTGTCCCTGGGCCCCTTTCGGTCTTGGGCCAGGTCTGGGGCCGGGGCCGGGG